CTTAATCAGAGTGGGAAAAGTGCTTCAAAAATTGGTTCGAGCCCATGCAAAAGTGCATAGATCTTAATGTGGAGAATTTTGAAAGGCAGCCAAGCGATTTTCGATAAATAGTACTTGTTCCTGTTCTCAAATCCCGAAATATAAAAGGCAACCTACGTATGTGGCCTATACAATGACTTGATGTGGCCAGTCGATGTACAAGCCAGTGCTTTTATCCTCATAGACGAGTCTGGTACCAATCAACCGACCTCTGAGTGATGAAAGCTTGGTTAGCCTAAGCACATCGAGCCAAGATTCAAACCCGTTATCATGCGTTATTTTTCTCTATAGATGCTTGGATACCCATGAATTTCCTTCGCTTCAGATATGGCGACATGGGGACCGATCACCCACGAAGACCTTTCCTACTGATCCCTTTCAGGAAGGTAATTGGACATTCGGAGGTGGAGGTTTTGGACAACTCTCACCTGTAAGTTATTTATTAACCCTCTATGAAAATTATAAATCTCGCTTTCCATCTAACTACTCGGAAACTATCAATTTAGAGTGTAACTCGGCCTGGGAGGCGATGGTTTTGGCACAGTTCACAAAAAATTTTTTGGTAGTCCATTCATGTTGGAAAGCGGAGTTGTTGCGAGAGGGTAATGCATTGATGCGACGTGAGCGAGGAAATCTTCCGAAATGTAAACCTTCTCAAGAGTAACAAAATGGGGCTTGTACCTCAGAACGGAAATACCTACCATGACGGAACTCATGTGGAAGGGATATTTGGATGAGGTTTTGCCTGTGCAGTCGCGGGAAAAGGTGTCTACAGCGAGTCACAAATGCCTAAAGTTGAATCTCACTGTGACCATAGGTCGGGTCTAGTTGCTTCAATTTTCAGCATGTATGTTCCGTTGTGAATGATGCAGTCACCCCTAAGCCGTTGAACTCGTCAGCTTTTCGCTGTTGTCATCGACGTTGAACCTTTATTGTTTCCCTCTAGGTAGTTTTTTGATCCAACAGCGTCCTATGTGGGATACATGCGGGCCCTAGGTCCGTCCTACTTGGGATTTCGGAGAGCATTTCATTGTAAGCTATGCCTTCAAGGGGCTATAGGGAAGGGCAGTATCAGACGATGGTTAGAGTTTTGGCTGGGGTCTATACTTAGAGAAAGTAGGCTCTATTGTCGCTTTACTAAAATGCAAAAGTGGTGATGGTTCCAGAGTCAGGCCAAGATTCACCGGCCAGATGATGATGATGAACTACAGTCGTCCTACGATGATTAACAACGAGATTGTACCTAAAGACAGCCTTTGCGAGAGCTTTTGATTAGCAAAAGAAGAGCTGGATACGGAGGTTGCACAGGGCTTTACAACGGCAGCTTAGATAGCTTGATCTGAATAAGACTCTAAGCGTAGTATGTATCGCTAGTTGAGAACTCTGACCGTTTGTGGATCCCATAATAGACAGGAACATGCCACTCTTGTGTCTTCAGAAAATATTCTGGATATCATATGGGTCTTTGTTGTCTTGTACGAGTTGTATAGTAGCTATCCAAACATAAATGTAACAAGGAAAAGAAATTCTTCGAGCGGAATATGAAAATCCAAATTTTAGTCCCTTGCAAAACCATTATCACCTACAACGAAGTGCCCTTTTTATGTACTCCATATCAATTCAGATTGGAATGAAGCAGCACATGAAGCTGGGTGAATTTCTTCGAAAAACGTACGTTGACGACTTGAAATTCCTCGACAGCAGGTATTCTTCGAAAGAGGTGAGCCGATGACTTTTTGACTATCGATGGCTATGCCGGTGACTATGATAACGATTTGTCTGGTGCTTCGAAATTTTTTGAATAGTCCCATTCCAATTGGCTGCACATATGTAGGTGTCGATTTCGAGATAGTAATCCAGTAACTCTCCCAGACCGTCCTCTAATTACTGTTCATATTTGGCACGGTTTCTGGAAACTGAGCAAAGTTAAGCCGATAAAAAAATAAAAATAATAAAAACAAAAATATGTAATCAATTTTTTCACGTACTCTCTTCGGATAGCACTCAAAGTGATATAATAATTAGTAGCACAATCCAATAGCAACAGTCAAAAGTAGTAGCACTTATAATTAGGGGAGTCAAAAAGTAACTCATTTGTTTCACAATCAGGAATTGATTTCCAACAAATTTGCAGATCTACGTTCGGTCAACAGACAAAAATCGAACTATAATTTCTGCCATGTCAAATATGCTCGGTATGTATGGTNTAGCACTCAAAGTGATATAATAATTAGTAGCACAATCCAATAGCAACAGTCAAAAGTAGTAGCACTTATAATTAGCGGAGTCAAAATTGTAACTCATTTGTTTCACAATGAGGAATTGAATTTCCAACAAATTTGCAGATCTACGTTCGGTCAACAGACAAAAATCGAACTATAATTTCTGCCATGTCAAATATGCTCGGTATGTATGGTCAGCAAAACAACGGTGCAGTCGTTGGTGTGGACTATCCGGACGATGCAGGGTGGCCAACAGGATTTGTTCCCATAGCCATTCATACTGTTGATGACGACACTGATTATGTAGGTGTAAGGACCTTCGTGTCATCAGTGAATTCCGGTCTAAGTTAACCACTCTCCCAGATCGGAAATCCTGAGGCTGTCTGTGATCGTCAGGATTGGTTATGGGACATGGCCAAGACATCTCCAGAACTACAAGCTTTCCAAAAGCGACCCGATGTTGGTAAACTTTGACAACTCGAAACGCTTTCAGTAATGTACCGGATTGATGCATAATAATTGAACCTATACATCTATGTGTATGTAATATCCCAGGTTGCTGGACTGCTTGCGAATTTGACGAAATTTTGTGGTGAATCCATCGATATCGATAATCTATGGGTAGTACGGGACGCCCTTTTTATTGAAGTGAGTGTTCCCAATAGATATTGCGGTCCTAGTCAAAACAATGTAGGCAGTTTTTACATTTGAGAGTCATTCTCAGTAAAGCTCATTTCAGCAAGTACATGCCAACGATACTTTGAGGAAGGTTAACTCATGGTTTAGCGATGACCTTTTCAACAAAATCACTGCTGTTAATGATCAAGTGGAACTGTATCAAAGCGGCAACTTCAGTGAGTTTGAACAGTTCCAAAATGAAGTGAGGCGTGGAGGGCGGCGCAACTTTCGCGAAAAATTTCGAAGGGCTCGGGTGCGGGATTCATAGATAACATACTTTTTCTGCATTCACCCGTTGCTACTATGCTAATTTCAACCAGGTCCATACGATCGACGATAAAAGTATAACGGATAAGTTTTTCACGTCGATGAGTTCCGTTTTGGGATGAGCTCCGCATTCGACTTCTTCTCGGAATCGTTGGGGCGTATTGAATGCCTACGTAGCCCATATAATCACTACGGCGGACTACCGATGCACAGTCAGTGCTTTTATTCTCCCAGTAAGTTTGGTACCAAATGACCGACCTCGGAGGCATGGAAGGCCTGATTGGCCTATGCGAATATTGGTCCACGATTCGATATCCGGATCATGGGTGCGTGATAATGCTCCACTTGTCACTACACGACCACCGCCTTCAACGAAAATGAAAGGAAATGGATTCCCTGAAGAACAACACATCACTTTTTCTTTTTTATTGTGGCAAATATTTCGATTTCATATGGGTTCATATGGGTGGTATATGGGCTCAAGCACTGAAATCCTCGAAACAACCCAAAGCACCCAAGTTCATGACTTTTGCCCTCAAAAAGCATTCAGACGCTGACCGTGCTGTTATCTAGAATAAGTGGCAGTGTGGGATACCACTGTTTTGGTCATTTCCCTTGCTTCAGGCTCTGGGAGGAGATTCCTACTGGTGGGGTTTAGTCATGAAGTTGTTCTTACATCTGGACTGATACGAACGGAACCCATTGTTTCTCATGTCTCTTCATCTAATAACGTCCAGAAGAAAAATTTAAGAAGTCATTTCAGATGGAACTCTGATGATGAACAACCTTGACATCGGCACCGAAATACAAAAAATACGAGGTGGATCGATGATAAACGACATTAACATGCACATGAATATCAAACTGCAATGTTTGGGTAAATCTAGCCCAAACTGCTCGTGGATCAACGGCCTGAAGTACTATGCTTACTCGGCGGTAAGAAACTCCACGCTCTAAGAAAGCTCTCTGGTAACTCATGAATAATCACTGATCACAACATTTCTTTTAATTGAGAACCTGCTTTGAATCCGATTCCATCCAATGAGCACAAATTTATGATCCTTTTGGTAATAGTAGTTAATTGCATTATTCATCCTGAAAGTTGGTTACTCTGGCTAGTCCTGCTATAGGGGAAACACATGTTATAAGCTGAGGTCCGTTCATAGGGTGGATTGTCTTAGGGATTGTTCCATTGTGAGGCATTTCAAAATAATTCGTCTGGATCATATGTTTCTTTTATTTTTTTCATATTCCTTTCTTAATCGACGGTAGAGCCTCTTTGACGGTGTATGATGATGCTGCCAAAAAATGAGATTCCTGAAGACTAACATCTAAGAGAGATTCGAATGTTTTCAGCATGACGACACGATTTACGCGTTTTTCTCCATACTGGGCATAGAGACCAAAGTTATTTCAACGCTCGGATATCCGGATTACTCAGCGGCGACATTTGTTGAGCTTTGGAAGAATCATACAAGTAATCAGTCGTTCTTCAAGGTTTGTTTGCTTCGAGTAACACGAAATTCTTCATGTTCCATCTTCCGACTACAGCACATCGATTGTCTACTCATTTACTAAGCCTGTTCTAGGTAGTAATTCAATTAATCGCTAATTAAGCTCGCTCTGAAAGCTTCTTTTATAGAGAAAAGAAGTGTTGAGGGGTGTGTCCAATACCCAAATTCATGACTGCTTGTGAGGCTACAAGTTTTGAGGCTAGCTAGCCTCGCCCATGGGATGAGATCGAGAGCAATGAAGTAAGTCGGTGCAACCGGTTTCTTTCAAAGCCTGAAAAAAAGTGTTTGAGGGGGTGTCAAACCAATTTACGGTAGCCTGAGCAAGCCTCTTCGCAATACTACAGAGATAGTAGGTTAGATGAAACATGTATTCGACTTTAAAAGAAGCGTATCCCACATTCACCTAATTCTTCTCGCCATCAAAGAGTCAACAGTACCATCGAAAGCAGTTTGAAGTGATATTCCTCTGAAGTCACTGTGAGAAAACCAATTGTGTAGGTCTCAACTCCACGTATGCATTGACCGTTTCCCTTTGAGTTGATTTTTAGATGGTCCCAAAGAGAAATATTGGTTTTGGAACACCTCCAAAGAACTTATTTAAAATTTTGCACATGACATTACGTTGACAACCGAAATATTGCAATCAGCTCATTCCATCTGTTTCATAATAGAAGCAAATTTTTCTCATTAGCAATGATACTTTGTTGTTGGTCTCTCGGTACTTCTAGTAAAATGCGTACTGCCTACTCGCTTGACCGTACTCGTTCAGATACCCATCTCTTCAGCATATCAAATGTCTCCAGCACAGAAATGTTCACCGATTTCAATGAGTTCGTCATGGCCACGGCCAATTTCCGTGACCAGTCGGATCGCCAGGCTCTCCTCCTTCTTGTGTCATACACCTATCCCGAGAAATGTTGAACTGAAGAATTTTTCTCCTCTTTTCAAAGTTTATAGTTTCTAAGCTTTTCCGTGCTAGTTAGATGAGTTTAAGTTTTCCGCTGGTTAGTTCAGTGAGTGTTAAACTGAACAGAGCTCGAAATACTTCTTTGACACAACAGAAATCAAAAGCTCGAAAGCTTTTTTAAAAATCAAAAGCTTCCCCATTCTTTGATGGAGTTATAATAAGTCTAACTCTCCACTCTTTTTTTTGAAACAAATGACAGTTTCCTGTACACGAAATTTGGCACAGGACTAACAGGGCAGTGCAAATGGTATTCATTTAAAGTCGGTGCTTACGCCTTCTATTGGAGGTCTCGAACTTTTGCTCTCTATCTTTGCAACAAATACCCATCAAAAATCCAACTGTTAGACAATCAAAGATGATGTTCTGAGTGATGATAGCCACCGTTATCAGATGTTCTTTATCAATGGACCCTTTTCTTTACGGAAATATCATTTGTTGAGAATTCTAGATTACAGGCGGTTGAATAAGTTTTGTTGCAAATGACATCGAGCATAAGGATCCTTCATTGAATCACAAACCTTGCTGGGTAGCGGTCGTAAACTAATAGTGTGAAATGAACAAAGTTCTAATCTGCTTGTCGTATTGCCCTAATGGGTCCCTATCGCTGCACTTGCCACTCACTTTTGTCATCCTGCTCTACCATCCCGTGTTATCGAATGAGACATACTGAACGGTCAAAGGTACA